GGGGAGGGGTAGTATGCTTATTCCAGTCAATGGAATAAGTAGAAGTTAGAAAAAAGAAATCAGCCCAGTTTCCTTCTGTAATTAAAAAGGAAAAAAAAAATGAAAAGCAACTTAATTTAAGAGAATGTTTAGAGTCCTGAAAATCCCACCGTGAGACTCTGCTAACATTTCTCTCCTATACCTCACCTCAGTGGATAAAGGTTACTAGAGTTTATTACATACAGGAAAACACTGTTTACAGGAGACTTTTTCATTGTGTAGTGATCCTGCCTTTAGGCTTGTTCACCAACCAGGAGAACTGTACTTTTCAATCCAGGACTCTAAGCCAGAACAACCTTCTCGCTCATTAACTTAGCCAACTGAGTCCTTCCTGTGTTTCTACCAGAGGCTCAGAGATGATCAAGACATAGTGTGCCCTCTGATACCTCATGACCTGGCAGGGGACATAAAGAAGAAAAATCAGTACTTATAATATGCTTTATAAATACAATATACTTATAATACAGCATTTGAAATTAAACAGACTTAGATTCAAATTTCAGTTCTGCCATTTACTAGGAAGTGGCAGATTTCGGGCAAGATTTAATGCCTTTCTCTAAATCTTCATTTTTCCTTCCATAGAACACTGGCCTCATGGAGTTATTGTGAAGATCAAATGTTCTATTGAGTATAAAGCCTTCAGCACATTGTCTGGAAAATGATAATCATTCAATAAATGTAATCTACTAGTATGATGGAGATTGAAGTGTTTATAGGGAGCTACAGGGTCCAAAGAAAGGGGGTTGGGAGAACAGGGGAGAGGAACAGATAACGTCAAGGAGGGCTCCCAGAACAAAGTGACAGAGGCCATATTTTGAATAAAAGGTTGAAGTCATTAAGATGGTTGAAAGGAAAGGAAGACTGTTTCAGGAGGGAGGAACAGAATCTGCCTAAGCACAGTCATGACAGAAAATAGGATGTTTGAGGGACTTAGTATGGTAATAGCTTAATATGGCTGTAAAAAAAGGATGATTTCAGAAAGTGAGGCTAGAGGATGAAAGGTATTAAAATTTAAGTAAGGGTACCTGGCTAGCTCCATCAGTAGAGCTGTGACTCTTGATCTTGGGGTCATGAGTTCAAGCCCCACGTTGGGTGTAGAGATTACTTAAAATCATAAAAAAAAATTTTTTTTAAGGGAGCCTGGGTGGCTCAGTCAGTTAAGCATCTGCCTTCGGCTCAGGTCATGATCCTAGGGTCCTGGGATGGAGCCCCACATTGTCGGGCTCTCTGCTCAGCAGGGAGCCTGCTTCTCCCTCTCCCTCTGCTGCTCCCCATGCTTGTGGGTGTGGCTCTCTCTCTCTCTGTCAAATAAATAAATGAAATCTTTTAAAAATTATTTTAAATAAATAAAAGGTAAGTAAAAGCCCTTATGCAGTGCCTTAGTTTACAGGGAAGGGGAGAGAGATAAAAATAGAAAACAAGGGTGAATAGCCTTCAAGAGCAAAAATTTGGAATGGTATCAGGTGAGTATCCTGAATGGTGTACAAAAACCCTGCGCCCTAAATGAGCTAGTTAAACTGAGAAATTAGAAAAGAAAACATAGAAGTTAGAAAACAAAAACAAACACCCAGACTTTCCACTTGAAAATTTTAAAACATGATTCTATATAACTCTTAGATTAAAAATGAAATCAAAATAGTAAGACTATTTAGGAAAGAGCTATGAACGTACTCTTTACCCAAGCCTGCAGGGTGAAACCAAAGTGACACTCAGAGGAAATTTTAGAGTTTTAAAGGCATCTATCAGAAAACAAGAAATACTAAAACTAAATGAATTAAGCATTCAACTCAAGAAGCTAGAAAAAGAGGGGGAAATAGACTTAAAGGAAGTTAAAAGAATAAATTAGTTAAATTGAAAACAAAATAGAATTTTTAAAAAGAGTTGATGAATAAAACCAAAGTTGTGTTTCTTTAAAAAGAAAAAAAAGCCTTCCATTTGCAACGACATGGATGGAACTGGAGGGTGTTA